AAGATTAAAAAGGGAACACTTGTGCATTGTTGTTGGGAACACAGATTGGTGCAGGCAATGTGGAAAACAGTATGGAATTTCCTCAAAAAGTTAAAAGTAAATTTGCCTATGACCCAGCTATTCCAATTCTGGGAATTTATCTGAAAAATCCAAAACACTAATTCAAAAGAATATATGCACCCTTATGTTCATTGCAGCATTATTTTATGATAGCCAAGATTTGAAGGTAGCCCAAGTGCCCATCAGTAAATGAGTGGATAAAGAAGCTGTGGTACATTTACACAATGGAATACTACTCAGCCGTAAGAAAGAAGGAAATCTTATTGTTTGTGACTGCGTGGGTGGACGTGGGTAATGTTATGCTAAATGAAATAAGCCTATCAGAGAAAGACAAGTACCATATGATTTCACTTATATATGGAATCTAAACAAACAATATAATAATTGTTTAATGAACAATATAAACAAAATAAAAACAAACGCATTGATACAGAGAACAGACTGACAGTGTCAGAGGGGAGGGTGTTGAGGGGCTGGATGAAAAAGGTGAAGGGGTTAAGCAAAGAAAAACAAAATCTCATAGACACAGAAAACAGTATGGTGATTACCACAGGAAAAGGGGGTGTGGAGGTAGAAGAGGTTAAGGGGTGGGGGTAAATGGTGATGGGAGGACACTTGACTTTGGGTGCTGAACACGTAATACAATATACAGATGATGTATAATAGAATTGTACACCTGAAACCTATATAATTTTATTAACCAATGTCACCCCAATAAATTCAATAAAAATTAAAAGAAAAAAAAAATGTTTCTCTGGAAAACTCTTCAATGGGAGGCTTTCTTATCAAGGTAGCTTTCAGAAAAATTTTAAGTCTCTTTTTCATATATAGGTTTAGAATTTAGTAAGAGTTAGAATACCAAAGATACATGTTTTTAAAGATTTAATGATAAGCTTTAAGTGGGAGAGATAGCACTCTGAATAAATGATTAAAAAGTATTTTCTTAGAACATTTTATCCTAGCCTATCAATCTCTGTATTTCCCAACAATTGTTTACACTCTGACACACATTTTCACTTAAACAATGCACAGAACCAAAATACTGCATTTGGCCATCATGAGACTGTGCATCACTTGGCAAAAATCTGAAATGTCCTATTAATTTTAAAAAGAAGATAATTGCTGTTTTAAATAAAATTGTATATATTTATTATAAGTACCAAATTAAGCAAATTACATCAGACTTCCTAATCCACTGATCAATATAGTAAATGTAATATACCCAGAACTTGAAAAACTTTACAATCCTTCAAACCCAGGGTGGATATAATATTTTGCTGTTGTTTGCTTAGTCCTTCCACTCTCAACATAATTTTTCTAGGTTTGGTGATCTAAAGAATCAAAAAGAAATTAGCTAAGATCAAACAATGTTATGACTTGAACACTTTGAAGTAATAACTTTACATTTGAGAACTAGTAGATGATTTGAAATTTTTGTCAGTCATTAAGTGAATTTTTTAAAACCCCTGTTGGTGGATGATGCAGACTTTAATGTCTTCTCCAATAGAGTTAATGAACTAAATGGAAACTATCTCATTAATTTCCTGAACCTCCTAGTGAGGCAAGAAAAGGTCATTCTCATCTAATTGCTGGAAAAACTGAAGAACTAGTAGATGTAACTGTACTCATTTAGAAAGGAAAATTATAGCCTTAATATACCCTAAGATGGGATATGAATGTTATTGCATATGCACATATCCTCTCCCTTATTTTTAAGGACTCAATACCTGTTTCTTAAAGTATACATATAACCTTGGATCTTGCTCCTGTACCTTTTGGCAGAGAAAATTATTGCTTCGTGGCCTGGCAGGGTAGCCACCTTTTTAATTTACTTTTAAATAGCCTTTCCCTAATCCATGCAATCTAGGATCAGGCCAATCACGAATATTCAGCAAATTTCTTTTTTCTTTTTATTCTATAGATTTTTTAACTGTAAAAACTTAGTCCCTGGCCTTGTGGCTCAGTTGGTTGGAGCATCTTCCAGTGCACTGAAGGGTTGCAGCTTCAATTCCTGGTCAGGGCACATGCCTAGGTCTTGGGTTCATTCCCCAAGGGATGCATATGAGAGATATTTGATCGATGTTTCATATTGATGTTTCTCTTTTTTTCTCTCTCTTTCTCTCTCCCTCCTTCTCTCTTTAAAAATCAATAACTATGCATTTGGGTGAGGATTAAAAAAAACACCAAAATCTCAGGAAATAATTCTTTGGGAATTTAAAAAATATTGAGGCACTAATTGGGAATTTAAAAAATTAAATTTATCTGTAGTTCCATAAAAATGAATTTGAGCCCTGGCTGGGTGGTTCAGTTGGTTGAAGCCCGATGGGTACACCAAAAAGACTGCAGGTTCGATTCTCAGTCAGAGCACATACCTGGGTTGCGGGTTCCATCCCCAGTCAGGGCTTGTACAGGAGGCAACCAATGGAAGTTTCTGTCTCACATCTGTTTCTCTCTCTCTCCCTTCCTCTCCCTCTAAAATCAATAAAAACATATCCTTACATGAGGATTAAAACAAATTAAATTGACATTTCACTTAGAAATTATAAACCATCATATAGTTTTTATTTCTTCTGAATTTGTTTTGGAAAGAGTGTTTCACTTGAATGGAAATGTCCTCAAGTTACTCCAGTGCTACTGTAGGATTAATTTTTCTAGGTTAAAGGAATGCCAGAGTTAAGTGCTTTATATATATTCCTTTTATTAAAAAAACCAAATCATTATGTTTTTTAATGGATTTAGGACATCCCAAAATAAACTAGGAAAATGTAACATCATTTCAGTATTACAAACATAGGGATCTGTGTAATGAATGTGATATGACAGTGAAATATTCATTTTTAAGCTTTAAACAGGGAAAGCTTTACCTTGGGATAGCCAGTAGAAATGCAATATGTAAATTAACCCATACTACCTGTATGCTGATTGGCTTAAATTTCCCTGAGTGTCACATTCTCATCACCTAACAATAAGGTATTTTATTGCTGTCTGGAGATCAAACTATTACTGTAAAGAAGACCTTTATTTTTTCTGTTTCATTAACAGATTATTATAAAGCAATAAGCATGGGTGAGGAGAAGCAGACGTTTTATATTGGGAATTAATGAAAGCAAGTCTGCTATTTTTTTGGAAGTGGGGAGCTGTTGTTTAAAATCTTTTATTACCCCCACAGACAAAATTCTTCTGAAATGGTAAAATAAAGGAATGCATGATTCCAGAGGCATCCCTAAAGTGACAGGTGTCAGGCAGTGTGGTGTGCTGTGGTATCATTCTGTGACAGGCACCTCCAGAGAGAGAAGTTATTGGACAGCCCCCAGAGTGGATGGGAGAGGGCTGTTCCCAACCTTGAGTCTTGTCTTCTCATATAAACGATTTTATATGAGACCTTGATTGCATTGTGATAAAGTGAATTTATGAAAACATTAAAGCAAATGAATTTAAAAAATTAAAGCATGCATATTTATCAATAAAGCAGGGCAAGCAAATCTATACATCTAGTTTATGAAGCACAGACAGGCTCTCAGCTAATCTGAAGAGTGAGTGGGATGGGGGTTCTGCCTTATATACCCTCTTGTCTATAAATTAAAAAAATTTCTCTGCCAGATATCCTGGTACAGGTTAACTCTGTTATGGTTTTCCAGCAATTTATGAGAAGTGCCTGGTAACTTTTTCTTGACAAACCCAAGACCTCTAACTTCACTGTTCACACAATGGGCACTCTTCTCTTCCCCTCCTCCCTGCTGTTTTAACAGCTTCAGGATGATTGCACTAAGTAGTCTCTCCCGTTTGTTTGAATTGAGATTCCTTCTCTTCCCCTTCCCTTTCCCCCTCCTCTCCTGCATTCTTTTGTGAGGAGAGGTTTTAACCCTTTCCTCTCAAGGTAAGGTCCTGCTACAAGAGGCCTGCAAAGTTTTTTGGCTTTTTAAACTTTCCTGCCTCAGTTTCCCTATTCCTTCTGCCCTGAAACTTTTCTAGCCTGTTACTATCCTGTAACAACTGGACATTTTGGACGAGTGTAAATTTTATGTATTCATTGTATCCTTAGTATTTTTATTCCATGATAACAAAGGGGAAAAAGGGAAACGCATGCACTACTGCTTTGACATCACCAACCTATTGGTAAGTTGTACTTGCAAGAAGGAAAAAGAAAGGCTGTTGCTCCGTGGGGTGAAATGCGAGAAGTAGTTATTTAACATTTTTGTAGATTCCTAAGTCATATTTGTTAAGGTAGAACGGATCTAAATCATTTTGCAGTTGTCAACTTAGCTTTAGCTTCTCTCTACTTAACGCATATTTGTGTGCATTCGAGAAAAGGTGACTAACGAAGTCACACTTAACTGCACTTTAAAAAAAATATTTCTTTCTCTCTCTTTATCCTCCAACCACCACCACCACCACCACCCAGTAAATTTAAAGGTCAGCTGCAAAGCGCCGAACCACTCTAAAAGAGAAAAGAAGAAAATATTCCGGGAATGCGGAGGCTCGGGAAGATGAGGAGGGGCGGCGCTCGGGCCAGGCTGCTCCTCGGGGAGCTGCCCCAAGGCAGGGTGGGCCTGAGGTCCCGAGCGACCCTTTCCTGCCCCCTCTTCAAACGCGTTAACGGGTAAGGTTCAGAAGCAACCGCAAGGATACGAAAGCCTAATTTTGCCAGTCCGACAGGACAGGACAGTCAGTAAACTTCGCCAGTGCCGTTAACGGGCCTGGGCCCGGCTTAGCCCCCGAGGTCCCGCCGCCGCGGCCCTGCGTTAGGAGGGAGACTGTGCCGCTGCGACAGGGGAGGACGCGGCTGGAGCTCCAGCAGCCTCCAGCGCGCAGGCGCCGCCGAGCCCTGTTGGAAGCTCAGTCAAAGCACTAAGGCAAAAATAAAAAAATAAAAAAATTCAGCAATCTATAGAAAGAAGAAGCTATAGTCTGTCGGGACACCCAACACCAACAGGTAGGAGGACATACTCTTGGTTAAGTTTGTGGGGAGGAGGGTCCACAGTGTTGATGAAACTGCAGGTTCACCAAGAAAGCGCTCATCCTCCAAACCCCAGGTGGTGTGTTGTGTTTGTTTTGTTAACAATAAATGGCATAATGGAAGTACGTTCGGACAATGCATCTTCAGTAGGGCTGATTCTAAGCTCCATTTCTGGAAAGCGTTGCAAGACTGAGGAATATCAGACTGCGAACCGCCGGAAACAGTTCCCTTGCAGCACAGAAACAATCTTCTCTCCCCATCTTCGCGTATGTAATGCATGTCTCTCTCCCCTCCTCCTCCTCCTCCTCCACTCCCCATTATAAATACAGGGGTGGCGGATTTCAGGTTTCGTAATGTTGCATGATGAGATCGGTATTTACCCGGGGGTGTACCAGTGGGGAAATTAAAATCATCGAAGCAGTTTCGCCTGGGCTACCATCAGCATATTCCGGGCAAGTGAAAAGTCGCAAAGGAAACATGCTTGGTGGGCATAACATAGGAAGGCGATTTCCCCGGTATGGTTCCCAGGCACCTAGAGGAAAATGTGTATTTTGTTTTAAAATGAAGCCACTTTCGATTTGCAACGAAGATGACCAGTGTAAATGGAAAGGCTTAATTGCCCAAGAAATATTATAGGGTTCATGTTAAATTTATTTGTATCCAGGATTTACAAATAGAAGTGCATTATTCCTCTGGGTATGTTTTCCTGGCCAATATTTACATTAAACATTTTTAATAATCATGTGTGCTTAAAAGAAAAGATTTGCCAAAAATGGGGTGGGGTGGGGGTGGGGGAGACAAAAGATTAAATCACATCAAATCCTGGCATAATTTCCTATTACTTTAGAAATCTAATGTTGAAATTATACTTTAAAGAATCAACAAATACACTTATAACATGCAGTATGAATAGTGACACTTGAGTTAACAAATATTTTGCAAGGGATCCATATCAATAGGGAAGCTGCCTATAAAATACTGACAGATACTAATACACCTCAAATAATAGTCTCCTCTCTGTCTTCTATTATCAGTCTTGTAGATTCCGTTGCAACACTAGTGACTAATTCCTGGACTGGCATATTTTATGATTGTGGAACATTATTCCTTTTGTCCTAAAGGTAGCTAATAAAATGTATGTTCTCCAAAATAGGAACATTTTTAAGTTTATCTAGCTCAGAAAACTAAGCAAGCCAATTCTCTGAAATCTCAAGCAAAAATACTGAAGCAAATAATATTTCAAAATTAAAACTTTGTTTACTTCCCCATAAATCAACAGCTTTATGTTAACACTACCTCACATCATTGCCTGTTAACTTAATACCTGATAGCTCTTGTTTTTGTTTTTGTTTTCCAGATATTCTGATGGCAAATCAAATGGAAGAAAAGAGGAAGCATGACAGCACATTGGATCAGTTCTCTTTTTGGATTACATTTTCAGTAAAATGTATGGATCTATATTTTCCTTGTCTGTCTAGATCATGAGACTTGACTAAGGCTGTATCTTTATCCTCCGTCTATCTATGGCGAACTATAGCCATGCAGCTGACAACGTTTTGCAAAATCTCTCTCCTCTAACAGCCTTTCTGAAACTGACTTCCTTGGGTTTCATAATAGGAGTCAGTGTGGTGGGCAACCTTCTGATTTCCATTTTGCTAGTGAAAGATAAGACCTTGCATAGAGCACCTTACTACTTCCTGTTGGACCTTGGCTGTTCTGATATCCTCAGATCTGCAATTTGTTTTCCATTTGTATTCAACTCTGTCAAAAATGGCTCTACCTGGACTTATGGAACTCTGACTTGCAAAGTGATTGCCTTTCTTGGGGTTTTGTCCTGCTTCCACACTGCTTTCATGCTCTTCTGCATCAGTGTCACCAGATACTTAGCTATTGCCCATCACCGCTTCTATACGAAGAGGCTGACTTTTTGGACGTGTCTAGCTGTGATCTGCATGGTGTGGACTCTGTCTGTGGCCATGGCGTTTCCCCCAGTTTTAGATGTGGGCACTTACTCATTCATTAGGGAGGAAGATCAATGCACCTTCCAACACCGCTCCTTCAGGGCCAATGATTCCTTAGGATTTATGCTGCTCCTTGCTCTCATCCTCCTAGCCACACAGCTTGTCTACCTCAAGCTGATATTTTTTGTCCATGATCGAAGGAAAATGAAGCCAGTTCAGTTTGTAGCAGCAGTCAGCCAGAACTGGACTTTTCATGGCCCTGGAGCCAGTGGCCAGGCAGCTGCCAATTGGCTAGCAGGATTTGGAAGGGGTCCTACACCACCTACCTTGCTGGGCATCAGGCAGAATGCTAACACCATGGGCAGAAGAAGGCTATTGGTCTTAGATGAATTCAAAATGGAAAAAAGAATCAGCAGAATGTTCTACATAATGACTTTTCTCTTCCTAACCTTGTGGGGCCCCTACCTGGTAGCCTGCTATTGGAGAGTTTTCGCAAGAGGGCCTGTAGTACCCGGGGGATTTCTAACAGCTGCTGTCTGGATGAGTTTTGCCCAAGCAGGAATCAATCCTTTTGTCTGCATTTTCTCCAACAGGGAGCTGAGGCGCTGTTTCAGCACAACCCTTCTTTACTGCAGAAAATCCAGGTTACCAAGGGAACCTTACTGTGTTATATGAAGGAGCATCTGTAAATCTTTAGCCTTCTGAAACACTGACCTTCTCTGTTAAGCAATTGTGGCCTGTAGCCATATCTTGAGAAGAAAATCAAGAATGGGATTAGCGGTAATAAGGGTTTGGGATATACTCTGCAGTCTTTGTAATTGTTCACCTATAATCCTATTTTAAATCTCAGAGTGGTCCTGCTGACTGCCCATGAAGGTTTGTAATTAAGAAAGGACTGAACCACTGCCCTAAGTTTTTTTATGTGGTTGAAAACTAGATAATGAAATTAGCAGGTGCTAAGTATCAGTACTAAATGCTGTGTATATCACTACTTACGAAAAAACATTTAAAAAAACCAATTAGCATTGGACATCTTAATAAATTAAGTTGACTTGAGGTAAATATGTTGATAAAAACTAACTTTAGAAGTTTGAAGACTTTAAAACATTTCTATTATTGTTTTGCAAAGACTAAAATATTTGTTTTGCAAAGATTAAAATATTAAAGTACTGTAATCCACTAAAGATATACAATGAATTATTGGATTATCACACTTTTTAAAAACCACTTTGTAAGTTTAGAGGAGCATTCCAAAGCAGTATATTGGTTCCAATTAGAGTTTACTTTTTTTATTAATACATTACTATTACTAAATACCACTTTCCTTACGTACTAGTTAAATTGCTAGCATTGAACTATATTATGTACTTTTTGTTGATTTGGTACAAAATTTTTCCAATCTATTTTTATTTGGTCTGGAAGGCAACATTAATGGTACCAACCGGTCACAATTGAGCTGTTCTGATACTTCAGAATAAACACATGTTGCCTTAAAGAGTTATCTAGTATCTTTCATCTTATTTAGCATTGGAGCAAATAGTCAAGGTAAATCAAATCAATAACTGGTCATGATCATGTATCTGGAAGTACATGGAAGATCATGAACACTTTCTTTCCTTTTTCCTCACATGGCTTAAAAGTTAAGGTGCACATCATTGGGATAATGAGATTGTGTTACTCATTCTAGTGTGTTCTAAGCAAGTAGTTGATGTATGTTTATATTTTAAATCAGCTGTCAAGGGGAGACTGCAGCCTTAGTATGACAACCTGCACAATTTATAATAAGTGTTTATTCTATGGAAGGCAAGTCTTGCTTATGCTTTCTGCACATTCAGTGTATTGGTCATTTAAATTATTTCAGATTTAACTTGTAAAAGCTTTAATATGATTTCTGGTATTTTAGAAATAGAGTCTGTGATTCTCATTCTTTAAGATACGGATGTGTGAATTTCAATATAAAGTTGTATTTGCGAAAACTTAACTGTGTAGACTGTTATTTTCTTGGAATAAGTTTTATAGTTTTTTACAATTAACTTTTTTTTTTTAACCTGGAAAGCAAGCACAAACTAAGAATACTAGTATTAATATGGGTTTGGTTTTTGACTTTTGTTGCTTATAATAATTTAGAACTGGAAATGCATGAATGATAGGGAGCATAAAGCTGGTAAACCAACACATTATATTATCTGTAAAAGCATTATTTGATAGCTTATTATAATTATCTTTTTATTTTTATTTTTTAAATATATCTTTTTTGATTTCAGAGAGAGGAAAGGAGAGGGAGAGAGACAGAAACATCAATGATGAGAGAGTCATTGATCGAACCCACAACCCGGGCATGTGCCCTGACCGGGAATCAAACCCTGATTGCCTGGATCCAAGGTCGAAGCTCAACCGCTGAGCCACGCACGGCTGGGCTCTATTTATTCTTATAAGTCAGTAATATTTACAGACATACCTTTTTAGTTGGTTGGTTCAGAATTTTTATATAAATATTAGGTTTTAATTTGGGGCAGAGCAGAAATTTGGGGTTCTAAACATTTAGCTTGTAAGAAGAATGGTTTATAATAATGTTATGACAAAACCAGACAAGTTATTGTTTTTCATTATTTTTATTTGTTTAGGGGGTTTTTGTACTAGAAAAATAAGTTTAGGAATAATGGAACAGAATTTTTTATTACTATAGTATATTTGTAAAGAGAATGTAAATATAAATAAGGAAAAATAACTGAAATGCCTCAGTGATATATATAACTATTCAGTTTGCTTATATAAGGACAACTGAAGCTGTGATTTAGTGAGGACTCTGACCTCATTCTTACTTTTTACCAAAGTTGATTGGATATGAAACAAAGTTTAATGTACAACATTGGGTTGACTCTAGCAATAAAGTCCCCTTCGTGGTATTAAAATCATTACCCAGTATACTACAATAAAGGAAATGTTGTCAAAAGGATATTCTGTCCAACTCAAAAAAATTACAGTAGAGATGTAATTACAATGATTATAGAGAGCTTTGCGTAGAGGTTCAAATATCACCAGCAAGCAGTAGAAAATTCAGCAATAATCTTGAGGACAGAGAGATCAATCACCATGTTGTGTTGTTAATACTATACACAAAATAACAACAAAACATAGGTGTTAAGTTCCCCCGTATCCCGACTGTCCACTTCCACAAAAGAGCTATTTCAGTTCCTTCCAGAAACCTGGAGGTATCTTTTCTTCCATTTTTATACCTTCCTGTAAGTTAGCATGAGAATGCCTGGGTAAAGGAAGGCACAAAGATGCCCACTCCCAGGGGGACTCCTATGGTGCTCAAGCAAAGATGAGAATAACCTGTGTAACATTACATAAAAAAGCTGAAGTATGCCACTCCTTCAACTTTTTTAGTTTCCCTTGTTGGAGATATACAACAAAACCCCCTAATCTCCTCCTTTCAGCTGAAAAGTTTGTCCTCCAAAATTCACTTCTATTGCAAATACAATTAAACATATTTACAATTATAGAGACATATTCCTTTTCAGCCATGTAATAGAGTTGTGTTGCAACGGGTGTTACTGTAGGACAGTTGCAAGTGGAACCAAAAATCTTCACTTATATATATTCGCCATTATATAAGTTTACTTTCTACCATTTTTTATTTTATTCCACCAGTATCATAGATTGTATTGTTAGTAAAACAAACAAAAAGGACCCAACTTATAATAGTTTCATATGAAAAAAAGAAAGAAGATAATAAGTGGTAATGTTTCAAATACTGGCTAAACACATTAATTTAAGCAGGTGGTTATCAGAATTGTGATTTAGGATTCCAAAATCTTGTGAGTTTGTTTTTCTATGCAAAATACATCACTTTCATGTTCGTATTCTCTTACAAATGTTTTGAATGGAAGTTGCAGATTCTACTAAGATAACTTTATTGCTGACATTTTTATTGTTGTTCTTAATTGGGGGCATGCTAGTGTTCTGTGACTTTCGCAATTCTCTCAGAAACTTTTTACACTGTATTGAAATGATAGAACTGATTAATTTTGAGGCACAACTTCCTAATTAGTCTATATAGTGGTTAAAATGAAAATGTTATGTGTAAATGACAGGATTATTACTTTTTTTTTTTTTACATCAGTTGAAACAGTCAAATAAGTTAAAAGAATACTAAGAACTGGAGAAATGGAGAAAATATTTGGGGGCTAATTCTTTTTGCCTTATTTACAGTATAACAGGCTCTAAAATATACTGAAATCAAGGAGCTTTAACTTTATAAACATATTATATAAATAAGATCTGGTTTTTAAAATAGAGAAGGAGCTTTTACATCATCTCCTTTTGTCAAAGGGATAAGGTCCATTAGCTTGCTCAAGCCCTTTTGATTACGAAGATTTTAAACCCATTTTTTCTCCCACCAAATCAGGGAGTTTATTATACAAGAACTGAAACCTTGAAAGGCCCTGGAAGAAAGCAAGAGAATATGTTTCCCTCTGAGTGATTATAGAAAAAGGCCTCAAAGAAGCCACAGGTGGTTTGGGAATTGGAATTATTCACACCTGGCATTCATAGCCACCCCTCTTACACC